GGGGGGGGGGGTTGTTGAGGGAAAAAGTACCAGTGAGTGAGGTCAGCAGCATAGCATGAGTCAACCTTGGGGATGTATGCAGTCATCATCATCATCATCATCGCAGGGCTGTATTGTGCGGGCCCGCTGCTGGCCGCACAGAGCTGCCACTGTGCGATCCTGCGGGCGAGGAGCAGCTCTCATGACCAACACAGTAAGTATCGGCACAGACAGGGTGCTGCTGCTGGAGCCGCGGCGTCGATGACAGTGGCGTTGTTGTTGTTGTTGTTGACGTGCTCCACACTCCATGTTATTGTTGCAACAGACAAAGTTTTGTTTACCTCGCTGAAGGCTGTTGATCCAGCCTCCAAACGGGCTCATATAGGATGTGATTTCATGTCGCAATCGAAGATGATCGATTGTACACTCGCAGACAGAGAAACATGTGACGTCTTAACCTTGTTGACAAGTTGAAATGACCCACTGTGTTTGTTTGTGTGCCCTGCAGCCACGCTTTTATCATGCAGGCTGCAGGGCTGGCTCTGTTTGTGGCATTGGTGACTGGATTATCCGTTTTCTGCAACAAAGGGATTCTCGTAAATAGCGCTGAGCTGGCTGGACACAGAAAGTAATGTTCAGGGAGGGGGCATCAGGAAGAGTCCTAGCGCATTTTTTTCTTCATATATTTTCTTTATGTGTCGTCTCGTGCAAGCTGCAGGCCTACAGCGTGCATGAGCTGGTGTACACGAGGAAATGGCGTTGGATTAGGGCGGCTAATGGTGCTCCACATGTATTTTAAGCCAATTTAAAGTGTTACTTTTGCTTATTGGGCTAAACCCTGGGCTTGGGTAAGGTTGCATGATGTGATGCGTCACCATGATCCCTTCACCTCGGACGGAGTCTAGTTCAGTGCACAGAGTGCTCACAGCATGGTCGCTCAGTAGCAGCAGTTGTGTTTGTGCTCTTTCTGCAAGGGGACTAGGATTGATTTATGTGCACCTTTTTACTTAAAGGATGTTTTATAGGATTTGACAACATGACCATAGGCATTTGTAACATCACATGGCCTTGCTGGTGCACACACAGAATTAGACAAACGCACACACTGTTTGATAGCATGGTCATCCAGCTTCCACAGTCAGAGCTGCCCCTGAGCCAGTGCAGGATCTGAACAGCTGCAGATGTCTATTTTAAGAAGCGTGTGCTTTACTATGCCACCAGAGGAAAGGGTGACGATTATCAGTCACTTCCTAGGTTGTCAGAGATGTCCACGTTGTAAAAGATTCTAGTATTCATTTATGTAACCATCTTGACATATTGTTTTTTCGTAACATGAGTCCTGCAGATTATGATAATTCTCGTAGTGATGAAACAGCTTTAATGATGGGTGATTTCTGCACACACGTACACAGATGGAGCACGGATTTAAATGTTCGGGATCTGTGTGCTTCTTGAAATTTGGCAGCATGCAATGTGTCAAAAATCTGCGCCCAAACCTTGCCATCAGATAATATTTTTGATAATCACCACGTGTTACCATGGAAATTGTCAAGAAGCGAGCTATCGAAGCCTGCAAGGCCATTTTGACTTTTTTGCCTCTCGGGGATCGTTTCATCATGAGTCATGCTTTGCTCACTTTCAGTTGCCGTTCCTTTTTTGAGTCTGCAGCTGCGGTTCAAAGGGCACGGGTTCTCTTTTCTTCAACTCAAATGATTCATACAATTGTAAAAAGAGGTTTATATTACGTTAAACCTCCTGTTGTTTCTGTAGTTTGGCGGGAAAGAGGGCTTCTGTTCAGGTCAGATTGAGCCCTGAGGGACTTGCTTGTATTTCCTCCTATCCCATCATCAAAATTGGTGCAGTAATATTTTGTAATAATGACATTTCCAGCAACTATTGATTAAAGTGTCTTTTACCAACTACCTTGCAGTAGTATATGCAGGGCCGGTCCACATGTTCGCCTGTAAGCAGGACCTTATCCCTGTCATGTGAACTTAGTGAATAATGAAATTAAGGCCTTCCCCTCCCCTATTGTCATACTCGTTACCTTTCAGTTGAGGTCTATTGTTGAAAAAGCAAACGGCAGGTTTTTACATGGCTGAGGTGGGGATGGTAATGGGCCCCCCCTGCGGGACCTCTTTAGTTTGATGGCTCAATGCTTGACCTCTGTCTCCTTTCTCTATACAGGGTGTTGCCCATGAATGAGAAAAACACACAGACTTCTTCAGATCTGCTCACCCCAGGCCAGCGACCTCTGACAGGGTCACAAAGAAGTCCAGAGGGGAGGAGAAGATTATCCTGGTTGACCTTTCTACTGCTCACTCTGATGTCAATGTAATTTGAACAATTTATTAAACAAGTGATCCAGTGGAACATTATTAGCTGGTTTGGTGGGGAATATTTATCAGATTTCTTCATGCCCGTCATGAGTGTACCCACCCAGCAGAAACCCAGCGCCAAGAGAACGGGCAAACGCATCACATTTTTCCACGATCAGAGCATAGCAATGAAGGAAACGTCTCAGCACCCTGAAGGGTCCTACTATGTCCCAGGTGGCCCTGCCTCAGACCCCGGACAGAGTGAGGCTGCAAGTACTGTGACTTCAAATCCAGAGGCCCCTCACATGTACCTTAACTCTGTTATCTTCAGCCCAGACAAAGGGGACCAGAGCAGGGGTCATTATCAGCAGACTGTGCCTATGAAGTGGGCCCACCAGGAGCCGGCTCAGCAGCAGCCGTCTCTGTCCCAGCAGCAGAGAGCCGCCTCCTGGAATACCATGACAAACTGGGGACAAAACTTTGCAAATTACATAGGGGGTGTAAACGTAACAGACTCAAGGACCCAAAATGCATTTGTAAAATCAATGCATGAGCCTTCTGGCGTACAGCCGAATCAACAGCCCCCTAACAGAGCTGCAGAAAAGCAGCCTCCGGGTCCTAACCCTGCAGGCGAAGCATACAGGGATGCTGTTAAGGCTCAGGGCCTGGATTGGGAGCAGCAGCAGTCCCAGGCCTTTCCGGAGACGTTGAAACCCGGGGCGCTGAACCCCCAGCAGCACAGCACGTCTCACCCCGGAGGAAGCTCAGTCTTGCAGCCCTTTCAGTTGGCCTTTGGGCAGCCCAAGCAGCACCTGCCGGCGTACTACCAGGCCTTTCAGGCCAACAGGACAACGCTACCTAACCCACCCAACTACCCAACACAAGCAAAGCCCCCTCCCCAGTTGCAGCAGTTGCAGAAGCAAGAGCAAATACGGCAGCAACAACAGCATCACATACTCCAGCAGCAAATTCAGCAGCAGCACCATCAACAGATGCAGCAGCAACAAATAATTCAGCACCAACAGCACGTACAGCAGCTTCAGCAGCAGCAACAAATGCAGCATGAGCAGCAGCAACAAAAGATACAACAGCAGCAGCAGCTCCAAATTCAGCAGCAACTGCAACATCAGCAGTTGCAACAACAAAACCCTCATGTGCTTGACTATTATCCCGCTGCACAAAATGCACACCCGCAGCCACAGCATTTGGTGGTACACTCCCAGGAGTCCTCGGCCCCAGATCCCTCGAAGATCCAGGAGCCAATTATCCAGGACATCACCCCAGAACCCCTGGAGCCTTCGGATCTGCTGCCGCCCATTCTTCACCCTGAACCCCCAACGCAACCCCAGAACCAATCCCAAACGCAGCTTCGTAGATCGCGACGGCTCTCCAAGGAAGGCGGGGCGCCATCCGACAACCCTTTTCTTTCGGTTTCTTCGGATCAGGCTGTTCCTGGAGGGCCGCAGGGCTCCCAGAACGGGGCCTGTGACATCCAGGCAGCCCCGACGGGCGTCATCCAGAGCACACGGAGGAAACGCAGGGTGTCCCAGGAGGTCAACCTGGAGACTCTTGCTCAGAAGGCCTCGGAAATGGAGTCTCTACCATCCCATATTGCAAAGGTAAGGGCTCAGTTCACTTTTGAGACTGTCAACATGTTCCAACATTGAATTTTCTTTGTTTTCCTTTTTTTTTCTCTGAGTTCTTTTGCCCACTCATGTCAGTGTTTCTCAGCTGTTTCCTCTACAGCAAAATAGCCTATTACAGAAAAGGACCTGGTGTTCCGAATCCAGATGATTTCATATCAGTTAATATATAAAACTCATCGCTTCAAGCTGTAAGCTTTAATTGTGAATATCACTATGGCTAATGATGTATTTTTTTTTTGTGCTAGAGCAGGGTATAATTGCACGGGGACTTTAGCTCCCAGAGCAAAAGCGGGAACTGGCACAAAAGGCCTAACTCTACTGCCAGGAAAACTGTGCCAAAACTTATGTTGTTTGTGATTAACATGTTGCTGGAAGAGATGCTGAATGTAATCAACGCCCAACAAAGTTTACACCACAGAACTGGGCTGCTCAGCTCTAACTTGTGGGGAACATCTGTCTCTAAAACAAGACTTTGCATTGTGAATATTGTCGCAAGGTAAATATGCACTTCACAAATATGTACTTTTCAGCTCTCACTGGATGAATCAATGGACAAACCTGATGAAAACCCCAGGCTGCTCCAATGTCGAGTCACTCTGGTCTATGTTTATGTGCTGAATGTCTTTATTGTGCAACAAGTTCCGTTGCCAAACAGCACTGAGCCAGTATGTCTGTAGTTCAGCACGGCTGTGCCCTGGATTCGCCTCACGGGTAGCTGATCCTAGAGACAGTGTGTTTGGTTACATGCCTGCACACCTCCCCCCATCCCATCAAAGGAGAGAAACTCCAGCCTGGCCTCCACTGGCCTCCCCCCTCGACACAGGGAGGGGTGCAGGGGTGCCCTGCCTGCAGTGCTCAGCAGAATATCTCTCCACCGCTCTGGTGTAGCGGCTGGAGTTTTCCACCAGCAATAATGAGAACAGATCCAGCGTAGCCACAGTGCTGCATGCCTCCCTGCTCATCAAGATGCAGAGTGCAGTGACAGAATGCATCTGTCTTCAATGATGTGGTGGGGAAAGTAGCTTTGAAGTTGCTCTAAAGCTCACAGGCTGCTCATGCCCACTCATTATGGGTTCTCATAGAGAAAATGTGGAGAATGCTTTTGGGGATGGTTCTTTCTGAGGTGTATCTAAGTGCTGCACCTAGCAGACCTGTGTCAAGGTGCAGTGGTACATAATGCCTGTTTGGTAAGGCTTTCACTGAAACATTATATAACAGGCTTGTATAAAAGTGAACACTTCATTAGGAGTATCGGCACAATTTTCTCTTCAGTTTGTGTGAGGAAAAGAGCAGGGTTCCTCTTTTACTGTATTGATTATAATTTAGCAGTCTGTCTGGGTTTGTTAACAGCCATCCAGTCACCGAGGTACAATTTGGTTTGATGTCTAATGTGCTGTGTTGTGCTAAGATGGAAAGCTAAGCTATAACTTGAGTTGCTAAAAGCTGTGTCTACTTGCACTTGTTGAGTAGTGCACTGTATCTGCTACACAAGGTGATGATTTGAAAATGTGTCACCTTCAACTCTTTATGTGAGAAACTGGAGTTTTACAACAGGATTGATTAACAGCCTAAGATGTTGTCTTCAAATCAGCCTTTTATGTAGCTTTCATAGCAGCCCGGCTTGATGAGCCCTCCCCATGTGACGTGCTGCAATTCCAAACGACCTAATTTATATTTTTCTGTTATTATTATTATTTTGTATTATTATGATCAATTAGGCTTATCTGGCGATTACATCTGGATGAATCATTTGGCCCATTTCAATTCCTCATCAAAGCAGTTTCTTATACATTTTCAATTTTATTAATTGAACTAGGGCTGCTCGATTATGGCAAAAATCATAATCTCGATTATTTGGGTCAATAATTGATATCACCATTTTTAAAAACAGTTAAAAAAATTTGAACAGTATGTTTTTAACAGTTATGTTAACCCTGAACTAACCCTGAACTTTAAGTATAATTCAACTGAAAAAAAAATATATATATATATATTTGAAAAATAAAAATAATAATAAAATAATCGTTTTATTTCGATTACGTTGTTTTCGTAATCGTTGCAAGCCATGATCGTAATTGCGATTCAAATACGATTAATTGAGCAGCCCTAAATTGAACCATAAGCCTTTAGTTTAGTGTCTACTATTTGCAATGAGCAAGCAATGCATTTTCATATCCTGTTGATGTTTTATATCGAGGAGAAATCAATTTACTAGATCCCTTGTAACACCTTCCTCCCCCCTCTTTTTCAGGAATCCCACCGCTCGTGGAGTCCCACTCAGACAGGGGGTATGAACACCAAGCGGCCTCGAGACGACAGCCTCCTTCCCCTCGTCATCCCCGTGTCCGTTCCCGTGCGAAGGCTGGACCCCTCCTCTCCGGACAGAGATGATTCAGCGCTGGCCTCCACCTGGCCCCAGAGACCTTTAAACCCCCAGGACTTCGGGCGCTCCGACCACAAGCCCTCGGTCATCGTCACCCGGAGACGCTCCCTCAGGAACTCGTTGTCAGAGAGCTCAGATCAGGTGGGTTCATATTAATTCCCTGATGCTTATTTTTTCTATTCATCAGAATCCCTGTATTAGTCCCACAGAGGGGAAATGTACATCGTTACAGCAGAAAAGAGCAGCTTAATGTTACCAAAGAAGCATGCATACATTTTTATACTTTTACATACACACTTGCATACATTTATTGAATGGTCAGATTCATTTACTAAGAATAGTGGGGTAGTAGTGTGTGTTCCACAGTATTCCTCAGTCTGTTATCAGTACGCCTAAACTCCAGATATTAAGTCGCCACATTTGAGCCACATCTCCCCGCCAACACACACACTCCCTTCCCCCCCCATCATGCTCCATGTCTCCCCTGCCCCCATTGGGGTCCTCTGCTCTTTTCTCCCTTTCCCTGGTTCATTTGGGGGGGATTTAGTGAACTAGATGCCCTGCCCCAGATCAGGCAGATTATCAGGGTTTAGCGATGCCATACTATTATGTACCATACAGTGGAGGGTAGGGGTTGTTCTTTGTCTTTAGAATTTCTCAGGATAAATAGACAACTGTACGCGCATGCTTGTCTTTCATTGAGGTTTTTATGTGTGTGTTTTAAGGCTGTCACAAAGCTCCAAAGTTTCATTCATAATATAACAATTGCATTTTTAACATTAAATGTTGCATGTCCATCCATTCTGTTTAAACCTGGCTTTCCTGCACAGTTGCAGATAAAGATTACATTACATTAATATGAGTAGTATTATACAATTTATAGAATTAGATTCCAGCTGTAGCTGCATGTAGTGATGTTGGGTTGGGCGTGTTCAGCTAAGCTTTTAGATAACATCACGTGTACAGGCGGGACACAAACTAGTAAGTTATTATTAACTCACAGAAGCTCTGTACAATAGTCCACCAATAGTCCACCTTCACTTCCTCACTCTGTCACACTTTCTCTCAAACACACACACAGCTCTTACCAAAATGTATTTACGTTGACAAAACTGACGAGTTAGATTAATTGAAGAAAATTGAGTTATTAAAAACTCAATTTATTCTATTTGACTATTTAGTTTGAAGCTTTAATTGTGTGTGATAAGGTCCTAAAACATGACATATGTTAATTAAAACACCTCTATAGACAGGGCTGCACATAACTGGTACGCATGCATGGCAAAAATCTGAAATGTGTACCGTCACTTGTGTCACTAAGCGCCTTTGCGTACCAACGTACTTGTGGAGCTTTTCCAGAAGGCGCTTAGATCACTGGACGACAGTTGGTCTCCGTGTGCACAGACGGGGCTGCTGTTAACGTCGGTCTGTACAATGGAATTGTGCCAACCGGCTGCGGAGGGAGTAGGGATGCATATCGTTGACTTTTTTACGATACCGATACCACTGAACGATACCGATACTCAACCGATACATATCGTGATACTTTGAAAATGTATCATCCCACAATTACTCCCATGAAGCGCTTTACGATATACGGTAGTTAACATGTCAAATGAATATTAAATTCAATTGTGGGACTTCTTGGACTTTTTAGTACTGAACAAACAATGAAAAATACATTAAAAATATGAAGAAAACCGATTATGGAATATCTTTTATAACACCCACCATCAGGTGTGCCGCGTGAATAGCA